TGGAGTCACCCACGCAGGTGAAACAAGAATGGTTTACAACTCAAACCCCCCCCCCCCCCAAAAAAAATAAAAAAAAAATTAGCTGCTTGGCTTGGCTGATACCTCATGTTTTCTCCTCTCAGGAGTAATTCACAGTACAGCTGTTGATACAAGGGAAATTCCCAAAAGGGGGAATAAAAACAATTTGTTAGACAAATATTATAGTTTCACATCTGCAGTTGACATTCTCACACTTATCATGGAAGTCAAAGATGATGGATCGTGAAAGGAATTCAGTTTCACCTCCTTCAGAATAATTTTTTTCCCTCACAAACACACACTGGTTTGGACGTTTCACACAAAGAGAGGTAATTTATGACGCTGAACGCTTTACTGAGAGAAAAAAAATAATATGGCATTTAGAAGTAACAAGATTGAAGGAAAAACAATTTAGGAAGGTCATTTAGATAGGAAGTAAGCGCAGTGCTTTGCTGTACAGTTGCCCTTTAGATGGATGATAATTTCACGTGTATTAAGATGGAAGTGACAGTACAGCTCTTAGATGGGCTGGAGCTGACAATTTTATGCATGCAGCCATGTTGATTTTACTATTTCTTCAATGCAAACAGTTTCTGTGCATTAGATGGCGAGCTTAGGGCTTGTTGTTTGGTATTAGTGGGATTATTTAGATATGGTGAATAAAACCTGGAGAAATCTGAGGATTAATGAGATTAAGATGTCTTTGGGTAGAGGAGGCAAAAACTCCCAAATCATTTCCAATTGTTAAATATATGCCATATCTTAAAGATATGCCTTAAAGCTGAGCTCCCATTAATCGAATAACACAACGCCACAAGTTCTAAATAGCATAACACACAGGCCCAGCAGGACCTAATCACTCCTGGTTTGCTGCTGTCAAGCTGGTTCAGTGTCTACTCACGGTCTGGGTGTTCATAAGGCAGCCAGAGGTGCTTGTTGATGTACTCTGAGGCGTGGCACTGCTCCTCCCTGGGATCACTGTAAATGTCTTCACATTCATTGGTGTTGCACATCTGGAACTGGTAAGTTGCCCCTCTGCAGGGCCGGCCACCATTGGCCGGGCTGGGAAAAACAAGAGGCACAAGAAATGTTCTTGGCGTTTTTAAGTGGTAATTTGTTCTTTTGCTTTATTTTTTTATTTTTATTACACTTTAAACTGAAATGATCTCTTTAACCCAGTGTTTCTCAGTTCCGGTCCTCAGGCTCTCCTGCTTTGGCTGTTTTAGTAGTTTCCATTCTGCCACACACCTGGCTTGAACCTGTGGGCGATTTAACAGGCATCTGCTGCACTTGATGGCGGCACAGGAGGTCATGCAATCATATGAATCAGGTGTTCTGGAGCAGGGACACATCTAAAGTCTGCAGGGCAGTGGGGCGGGGGGGAGGGGGGGGTGGCGACTGGAACTGAGAAACATCCTGTAACGCTGCCTTAAAAATACACAGTGGTGGTCATATTCACAAGTACACCTGGTAATCGCATCCTAAATTGAAGAGAAGTCCAACTTTTAATTCTGCAGTAGGTAACTTGTACATATGTACATAATTCTTAAAATTGTGACCATGTCTTGACCTCCCCTAGGTCTTGCAGACAACTCGCAAAAATGCATTGCTCCTTGTTGGAAACAACCAATCAGATGCAGGAGGCGGACCTGGGTGAATTTAAAAAGAACAATGTGCGCTAACACTAGTCGGTTGTCAGTGAAACCATAACATTTTTGTTGCGATCCAGTTGCATGATTACCTTATTTTAAATCTGTTTACACACCTCCACCTCATGGCCGTGGCGGACACTAGACACGCACTAGAAAATAACGTCATACCTGGGATTGTCACAGTTTCTGGTGCGAAACTGCACTCCTCCCCCGCAGGTTCGTGAGCACTGGCCATACTCGCTCCATGATCCCCAGTTTCCATCTTGCTTCATGATGTCCGGAGTCAACCAGATGCAATGACCTTTGAAGCAGTGCTGCCCGAGAGCACAGAGACATGCCTAATTTAGTAACTACATATTGTGCGTAAAATCTTTTACAATATGTTTTTCTTGTAAAAATGTTGCAATACCTTTCCATTCCCACACATGGTGCCATCAATGGGTGGCCCCTTCTTGGTTTTGCAGAAGAACGGATTGTCTGGGTGACTGCACCACAGCTGCTTGCAGGGGTCAAACGTACGGTACTGTTTGGGAGCACAGAGGTTTCAGCATGTAGTCAAAAACAGCAGCTCAAAAATAAACATGTTGCTTAACAGGTCAATCAAAATGTAAACTGATGGGAAGTTTAACACTCAATAAAGTTGAGATGGGAGGAGAAATGCCACAACAGTAGCAAAGACAGAAACATACCAAACAAATACCAACACTTAATCTTACGCAGAGCCACTGCAGTTTACACTGGGACCCACTGAGAAACACACAGCAGTTCATGCAAATTCTGTTGACAGATACAGAGCCCTGCAAAAGTAATCCTACCTCTTGTTTCGCATAATCGCACTTTACAATGACTAACATTAATAAATTTTAATAGGATTCTAGGTGACAGACAAACACAAAGCAGCAGTAAATTGTGAAGTGGAAGGAAATTGATACTCAGCTTGTAAGTCCTTTTTACAAACAAAAGATTCTGATCAAAATATATTCGTACTCAGACCGTTTTACTATGATAACCCTAAATTAAGTCTAATACAAATCCACCTGTGTGCAATTTATTCTGTATACAAATACAGTTCTCTTAAAGCATCAGAGGTTTTTGTAAGAGAAGCTGCTTGTTCTCTACAAACAGCTTCACATAGACCGAAGAACACTAACTAGATGAGAAATAAAACAAACAAAAAAAACAAAACTGTAAAGTTCATAAAATCATGTTTAAAACTCTGGTAAGAGAGAGACTTTACAGTGGAAAAGCAGCTTTTTGATGCCCAGCCTGTTTGGTTCTACCCCAGTTCTTAGCGTCTCCACTACGATCTGCTCCCCACTGTTAATGGTGTGCTAATAATTAGGAGCGTGGGCAAGCCAGTAGTGTGCAGGAGCTGCAGTGAAATGCTCCAATGATGTTTTCAGCGACACTCGGCAATGGAGAACCTCATGGTTGTGGTTTTTATGGAGCCAACTAAACCAGATATTTCATTTTGCCTTCTAGAAATTCATTTGTGGAGCAAACGTAATGAAAACCATTCAGATCCAGAGTTTCACACAAAGCTGCAGCTCAGACGAAACCTCGACCAGAGCTGCACAGTTCCTCGCTTCATCATTGCTGTCCACTCCTCAGAAAGACTCGCTGCTGCTTTGCATGGCTGCAAAATCATTCCGCTCCGAAATGCATGACGCATGTGTTCCTGGCGCTGCTCGTGATTAAACTCATAATTACGCTAGTCCGCACTGTGCAGTTCTTTGATAGCAGACGCCATGACTGCCGGTCCACAGCGCTGGTTGAGAGGTTGTTTGGAGTTTGCAGTGACGTACATCACGGGCCAATCAATGAATGCAGTCTGTTTTCGATCAAATTACTTGCATGCATTACACTTCTTAGAGCGGCCAGTACAACTCCCGAATTAGGTTCAAAAAAACGGAGAAGAGCTGTGCTGAGCCATGAATCTGGTCAGGATGGACCGAAGCAGAACTGGTTGAAGCCACTCTAGTGGAGAAGCGGGCTCTACTGAGTGCTGCCCAGTCCTTCATCTGAACAAAAGCATGGAACAACGGCAAACCCCTCAATGCACTGCAGTTCCCCTAAACGTACAGGCCAGGTAAATAAAGCTATAATCAAAGAGATACTCAGGGTAATGTTAGAGGAGCTGCAGAGATCCACAGCTCAGGTGGGAGAATCTGTTTACAAGGCAAGTTTTAGTTGTGGGCTCCAGAAGACAGACATAGTCAATAAAAGCCACACTGAGTCCAATGAGTAGCTTACCACTGCAGGGGACACCGGATTCAGGTGGAAGAACATAATTTAGTCAGAGGATACCAACACTGAACATTCTGACCTTCATGCAAACCATTCTTTGAAGAAAAACTCAGTGCATATAAACCTGATCACTGGATTCACTGTGCAACAGGACAAAGACCCACAGAGCTGCAACTGTCTGGATCAGTGTATTCAGTGTTGGAATCTGATTGTGAAAGCAGTCCATACAGACGTTCTCCTATTTTGAAAAAAAAAAAAAAAAAAAAAAAGCATGAAAAGAATGGGCCGTAATCCCAGCTTCTCTTTTCCAAAAACTGATGAAAAAAAATGACCAAAAGCATCTGCAGCTACAATTGAACCAAAAGGTGATTCTTACAAGTTAGAGAGGGCTTAATAAAAATCTACATCAAACATGATATATGTATATAATTTTCCTTCCACTTCACATTGACTTTTTGCGTTGATCTATCGCACAAATCACGCAGCATGGCGTGCCTGTAGCAATTTTAGAACTCCAGGTGTTATATATACTTTTGCAAAGCACTGTAAGGAGGGTCAGAGGGCAGAGTGTTTCAAGACAAAAGGTGAGACATCTGTGACTAATGAGATGTCTCTCGACATGGCTTCAGAAGCAAATTCAGCAAATTCCCCTCCTTGTCTAAAATGAATCAAAGTGCCATCAAACAAACCAGCCTGCCCTCCTCTCTCCTTTCCCCAGAACCTCCCACCTACCATGACCCTGAGGGACTTCTACAGGTCAGGAGTTGACTTACAAACATCGGCTCAGACTGCGGTAGGTAATCGTCAGCTATATATAGACTGGAGGATCCTAAAATACAGGAAGGAAAAAGGGCCTCTGTTCTGGCTGAGCCCTTTCCCCCCCAAGGATGGGGAAGACTTCTCTCCAACCTTTTCCACTCGTTTACAGTCATAAAAGTGCCAATATAATGAGTCTCTTCCTACCAGAGGTGCAGTAATTTACCACCCGTACGCAGAAAAGGACTCCAGGTACAGTGCTGGACGGAGCCATAAGGGCCACACAAATGAATTGCAAGTGTCCCGTTGTTTTGAAGGATTTTATAGTGGCTTTCTCTTAAAGCACAAGCATTTTAGAATCCTGCAGACCAAATCCTGACAAAACTGAGACGCAGAGTACACAATCAAAACGGAAATGAGGGAGCAACATTACATACACATGACTTTGGGTAACAAAAAGAACGAGAAAACCTAACAAAACAAAATGACACGTCCACACGTCCTCCTGGAGGTGGGGTGGCCTTACCTGCGATCCCGTCTGGCCCACCTTTTGTAGCTGAGGGAAATGAGTTTGACAAGAGAATAGAGGGTAATCTAGCAACGTGTGCAAGCCCCTGAGCAAACCCTTAGTCAAGAAACAGCTTTGCAACAGCGTGCCACAGTGGCTTCACAGTCACAGAAAAAGACGATGCTGACTGCAAAGGAAGTACAAGATGCCAGAAAAGATGCTGCAGCTTGATGAAACTTCTCTAGTGATGTTTTTGTCTTTACAAAATTTTTATCTGTAGCAGGGTCATGTAAAGGCACTGTGGTATCAAGGCAACTGAGAGGCTATAAAAATAAACTTTATTTTATTTTTTGTAATTAAATTAATGACATTAAGAAATAATAGCTAACAAAACCAATTACCTGCTTTTAAGCAAGATGTCAATCCCACCAGAGGCCGGGAGAAGAAACAGAGGACATCAGAAAAAATGTCAATGGCTACATAAGTCACTTATTTTGGTCAAAGGTAATACACTAGCAGACAACACTGGGCTCAGTTAAGAAGCCCAACTCTTAAAATTTGAGAAAATACTTAAATAATTCAAGCTACTTTACAAACCACAGTGGAAAAAAAAAAATCACTTTCAAACTCTGTCTGTTGAGGCTTAACATTTACCTGTCACTTGTGCTTAGAAGCTAAGGCAACACTAAGCTTTGACTGAAGATGCGCTCAGTGTGATGATGAATGAAAGTCGAGCGTTGACAGACTACGGGGGTCTCTTACCGCGGTGCACATGGTGTAGCCCACACCGAAGTCAAAACGACACTGTTCATTCATGGAGTAGTGCAAACCAGGAAGTTGAGGCAGCGACGGCCAGTTGTGGTCAAACGGGTCGTCCCGGAGACAGTCGTAGGAACTGAAGGGGAAGTGAAAAACCTTTCATTTTCTTTCCTTACCTGTAATGTTCCTACATTTCCTGGTACCTCTGGAATAAATGCACAAGAAAAGCTAACCTTTTTTTAAAAATGTATTTATTGTTACAGCATGTACTAAAAAAATAAGTTTGTCAAACTGAATATTTTGCTCAGATTTGCTGATTTATCTGATTTTAAAAAATGGTTCCGACTAGGATGGATAAGATTTTGTGCCCTGTTCACACTAATATGAATATTTTATAAAAACAGACACATTCTGCTCTTGACAATAGGTCAAATAATATCTTGGTGAGAAAACCTGAGATTTTGAAACGCTCTTTGTGGCGTGTGTCTGTTTGAGCTGAACATGTCAAATCTCATGGCAGCTGCATGTAAAAAGTAACAAAACTTGAGATCAGAGCTGACCAATAGGAGTCTCTACATGTAAAGGCTCCTGCATGTACTGATATGTTCTGGTGCTCATGTCTCACTGAAGGTAGCGTCCCAGCTCCTGCATGCTACATCTGGACCACTGGAAGCGGTGGAAGGCAGCTTGCACCAGAGGAGCCATGATGCTGCCCATGGGCACCTCGTCTCCGCAGCGGTTCCCCTGGCCATCGTGCTCCATCCCAAGCCTACGCAGAAGAAGAAGAAGAAGAAGAGTGGTGGTGGGGAGGACAAACAGCAATAGAGACAGAGCGGGAATGTGTGGGAGGAGTAGATGAAGGAGCAACAGAGAGAGGATTCAATCGTCACATACTGACCACTTGAACAAAACCGTGATGAATTAGAAAGCGACTGCTTTGCTCTCTGATCTACTTTGTTACTGGTGACACTTACACATGCCCGGTTTCATGGGCCACCACAAAGGCAGAAGAGAAACCATCCTCGTGGTTCAAAGTGCAGCTCCTCACCGGGTGGCACATCCCCGTCACCGGAGCATAACCTGAACAACAACCAGGGGGAGAGAAGTGATGTTTGAGATTTACCGACTTACTGCTGCAGCGCTGCCGAAACACAATCATAGACAAAATGACAAAATGCTATACTAGCTAGGTTTAATCCTCATTTAGGTGTGCATTCTATGAATAAATATGCTTTTTATTAATTATTATTATTATTATTTGGTCAAGTAGACTTCCTTTATCAAATCAAAAACACATTTCTGTTTCAATTTTGCTTTATTATTAACAGAACAGCTCTACTCATCTTAAAATTACTTTACACACACACACGGACTCCATTTACTCTTCTCGTTACTCTTTTAGCTGTTTGGTTTGCCAGGATTTTATTTCAGGGGTGTCACATTTTTGATGTATGGTTCCGGAAAAAGGCACTGTTGAAGTGCGAGCCACAAACATTTACATTCATGTGTCTAATCTTAATTCCAAGACGCTGGCTTCTCTCTTTGCAAATGCCAGTCTTCAGCTTCCTGTGTGTGTGTGTGTGTGTGTGTCCTGCACTCTCTTTAATTGTGGAGCTGTGGCTGCCTCTTCTCTGTATATTGATTTTCTGCTGCTGAAGGCTGCGCCCAAGGGCAGCTGAAGGGCTTCTGGTTAGCTAGGCCACTGGCTTTAGAGGCCTCTCCCCTGGGCCTGGCTGTTAGCTTGTGCTCTTCTGCACAGAAAACCATCAACCACTAAAGCCACAGCGCACCTTGCAAATTATATGAGGCAAAGGAAGGAGGGTGCACACTTCTCTATGTGTCTACAATCTTTTTCGTTAAAAGTGTGAACACGCAGCAAGAATATAATGCACAACAGCGTTGAGTGTGTTCATCGTGTCCTTTAATACCCTGCATGCCCGTGGGCCCAAATTCTTGGCGTGTCAGGAAAATGGCGTGATCATGATACTCGGCGTCTCCCGTGTCTTGCTTCTGCTGCAGAAAGGCCCAGCGACACACGTTCTCCAGACTCTGAGATGGGTTCCCAAGTTCAATCAGGCTCATGGACTGAAACGCAGAGCAACACGAAAGAAGTGCAGGGATTATTAAAAAAAAAAAAAAAAAACAAGGACATCCCTGTTTTAGTTAATGTATGTACAGCAATTTATTTCACCCTGTAGGGGGCAGTGTCACTGTGTACTTTTCTTTTTTTAATAATTTTTTTGATCTTAAAAGATCTCACAAACTGCTGGAGCATTTCTTCCACTTCATCACACAGAGAAACACACAGTCTAAAAGAGATGTTCGAAAGCAGCACTCTGTTAATGAGATTTAAAAAAATACCAGACTCCTTTAGAGCTATATTTCCGTATCTAATACGGATCTGTGATCTTCATTTACCTGTCTGTTTTCAAGGTTTCTCTTCATATCTCTTTGCATTTGCCTCTTTTTTTGTTTTTTTTGCTCAGTGTTTGAACACATGCCTAAGGTGCAGTTGGTTCACAAAAGGAATGCAACATGAGCGAGACATATGGCCTGCCTCTGCACACTTGATGGAGTGCTAAGTATGCATTCGGCTCAGCCCTCATGTAGACGGCGATGGGTGCAAATGTAGCGCAGTGACTGCGTGCGAGCAAAGTGTGGGTGTGTGAGAGTGGCTGCATTCAGGGTCACACAGTCGATCTGCAGGCTGTCTGGGTGCAGCTCTGTTGCTGTGGTAATTGGGAATGATGGACAGCCAAAGCTTTGGGTGAAGCTGCACAGGGGCTGGCCCTGAATGACCAATGCATTGTAGCCTGTGTGTGTGTGTGTGTGTGTGTGTTGCTCCTGACTTTTACTGGGGCTGTAAGGGCAGGAGCAGTGGAAGAACATCAGAGATCACCTATCCACCAATAAAGTCATATGCGTTATTCAGTGGGTGATCCCGTCATTCCTGCCAGTCGTCATCCTGCCACGCTTCTCAGCACAGACATGCAGATAAAGTTACAGTGAGGAAGAAAGGGACGCTGCCCCTATTGCCCGTACTCTTTATGAATGAAGGAGAGCTGTCATTGATTATTTACCTTTGTCTAGACTGGAGATGATTCTGTGCGGCAACCTGGTAGGAAGAACAGCGATTGCATAACGGCCAGAGTTTCTGTGTGCTTTGGTGGTGAACTGTGAAGGCGTGCGACTTGGAAAAAACTCCCCTGAGATGCTGCATGCTTTTAGTTCCTCTTTTGCTCAGTCCACTGGAATAACAAGCTCTGGGCATCAGTCTGTGTGTGTGTGTTTCCTGATGACTGGATGTGTGTGTTGTATATTTGTTTATAAGTTTGCTTTAGGTACTTAAAGGAGGAGTAGCGAAATCCCTGTGTCACGGATAGTGCTGACATAGAAACAAAAAGACAAACAGGGCGAGCCCAAATCCTGTTGTTCTAAAGCGTAAGCGCTTCAGGAACTGCGGTTCGGTTGTTTTCTCAGCAGGACTTCGAATCCTGTCAGGTCTCACCTTGCCGTAGCCCAGCATGATTATCCGCACCAGCACCACATTGATTTTTGCTCCCAAAGAATCGTCATGGTAGATTTCGTTCACCTGGAGCCACAAAAAGCAAACACAAAAGGCAAAAGCTGTTAAATGAGATGCACGAGTAGATAAGACGTTGGGAAAGCGTTTTCTGTCCAGAAGTTGTGTAAGACTAACTGGATTCACACTGTTGTTTGAATGAAACTCAGATTGAGCTTTGCAGCGACACAATCCTCCGGCACGGGTAGGTATAAAAAACAAAAGATTAAAATGGAAAAGAGCTGCATGACCACTGTTAGGTATGCTGCGGGCCGACTTTTCTATCAATGGATTTGGGAGACCTTGTTAGAGTTTATGACATTAGGAACTCCTATTGATACAAAGACATTTTTAATATAATACTCTGACCTCTGACAGAAAACTGAAAATTGGTCATTAATGTGTCTTTAAGCAGGGAAATGATGCATAACATCTGGTCAAAACAACAGAGAAATGGTTCACCAAACATAACAACAACCCCCATAACCTTCACCGAGACTGAAAAATCTGAAGCATAGAAACGTCAACAGCCTGGAGGAGAGTGGACCCCACAGGATCAAATGTTTCTAAGCTCAAAGTTAAGTGACACAACTGGGGTTTTATCTTAACACATTCACAAAAAACAAACAATAGAGGTGGGCGTTTTGATCATTTGATGTGGTTTGCGTTTTAGGTGCCATTATATGACAACAGTTGTTTGGTTAAAAATAAATTTTAACTTTTCTTTGTATTTTCATGAAAATCAACACACTTTAAGTCATATCTAAGCTCAGCTTCACATATGTAAATTAGTTTAACCAGACTGAAAAAAAAAATATATTATGTCACTAACTTTTATGACTTTACGGCCTTCTAAATTACCTCTCAAATATCTTTATTTCTAAATATTGTCAATTTTACAACCTTTAGATTAATATGCTGCTATTACAATCAGGTGAAAAATAAGGATGTCTTTAATAACTAT